TAGCTACTCAGGAGACTGAGATCCAGAGGATCGAAGTTCAAAGCCAACCCCAAGCAGAAAAAACAAACCCACAACACTCTATGTCCAAAATAACCAGCAAAAAGCTGAGCTAGAGGCATGGTTCAGTGGTAGAGCACTAGCCAAATAAGCAAAGTGAGTACAGGGCCTTGAGTTCAAACCCCAGTACTGCTGAGAGAGGGGGGGGGGCGGGAGAGAGGAAAAGCTGAGAAGGCATCCAAGAGAATCTCCAGAAGAAAAAAGAAACTGCCTGCAAGTCCAACAATAGGGGAGTCCTCACATAAATCAAGATCCTGCCATACAAAGGAATCTATGCAGCGATTAAGAAACATGTTGTCGATCTATATTTATTGGCAGGGAGAGACAGAAGTGTCTGCTGTTCACTGCTAAGCAAAGAAGACTGCTTACCAAACAGTACATGTAATAATAGCCCATAATATCCCAAGTTAAAAAAAATATTTTTGGCACCAACCACAAGTCTGGAAGGACCATAACTTGTGATTGGAAGCATAGTGGGAGGCTTATGGGGGGGGGGGAGGTCTTATTTTCCTATCCCTGTTTATTGCTTTTGATGGGGAGTGTCTGATGCATGAGTATGACTTTTGTAATTAGCCAAAACAATAACACTTGTTCCAAAGAGAACACAAGTGAGGCGGAGGAGCTGGAGAGGGGAAGGAGGTGGGTACAGGCAAAAGCAGGAGGGAGGAGAAGAGGGAGGAGAACAGGGAGGGAGGGAATGGAAGTCCTGGCAGTCACCGCAGGGTGGAGTGAGTCCTGGGGCCTGGGGAAGGCTGGGAAGTAGCTGGGTACCAAGGCCCAGCGGGATGTGCCAGTCAACAGAAAGAGCTCAGGACAGGGTGGGAGGGAACTGGAATGAAGGCTGCATCCATCAGCTGTACGTGCTGAGCCCCACCTGGAGACACACACACACACCACACACACACACACACACACACACACACACACACGAGATTCCCCCACCCCCAACCACAGCGTGGAGTTTTCTTTCTTTTTTAAAAAAAACAAATTAAAACTGCATCTCTCCACACCCCTGCAGCTGGTTTGTAATTTCCTGAGTGTCACCCTTGGGGAGAGAGGTCCTGGGGGCATCGTCTCTAATAACTTCTGCTGCTCAAGGAATCTGAGGAGCAAATGGGCTGTGGACAGAGCCTACAGGCTGCGGGCAGGCCATCTGCCTGGAGGCCCATGGGGCTGGCGCTTCAGGGGGTGGCTGTGGAATTAGGGGACTCAGGGGCACCCAGATTGGCTGAACTGGGGTCCTGTCATTCTGCATGGGGGTGCTCCCTACCTCCCCAGAGCTCTCAGCAGCCTCCCGGATGGCTGTGGAGGAAAGAAACAGCCAGCCTAGGACAGTGTCTATGCTGGCTGTGAATCCACCAAGGGCCTCCATTTCCCCAGGTCTAAAACGGAAGGGGTAGATGCAATGACATTCCAAGTCTTCCCATCTCAACTGTCTCTTGGGCACCGACAGAGTTGTGTTTTGGTTTGGTTTGGTTTGAATTTGGGATGAATGGTGTTTACATGTTGGGAGATTTCACAGAAAAAAATAAATCTGAATTCCCAGCCACATTCAATCTTGCTTTTGCTGGGAGCCATGGAGCAGAGCTAATAGATGCTGAGCCCAAAGATGGCTGAGGCCTCTGCTATCCGGGACTCCTGACCCTGCAGGCCTCCCTCTCAAGCCCTGGGCTAGTGTGGGTCTCTGATCTCTGCCTCCTCCAGAGGTTGGCTGTTCTACCCTCAGCTTCCCTCCGCTGGCAAGCAGCTACCTCTTTTAAGTTTTGTGTTTTGTTTGAGTAGTGGTAGTGGCGCTACAGGCTGCAATGCTCAACCGTGGAAACATACCCTCAGCCCTTTTATTATTATTATTTTTTTTTTTGGTTTTGAGATAGGATCTTACTATCTTTGCCTGGAGTCGACCTCAAACCCGAGCTCCTGGAGTCAACCTCAAACCCGAGCTCCACCTCCAGGGTAGCCTGGATTGCTGTCTTGTGCCACCCCACCCGGCCCAGCCCCACACAGTCTTGATGGTCTGTCAACATGTGCCTGTTTCCTTTCACTGCGTGAGTAAAACCACCGGTTCTGGGTGACCCCAGTTGGGTCCACATCTCAGCTCTGCCTCCTGTGTGAGACCTGGGCCAAGTCATGCGATCTCAGAGCCTCATCTGTGAAATGGGTATTAGGAGATCACACCTTCTGTGGGTTGTCATGGTGACTAAAGCACTGCCTGGAACGTTCTTAGAGCTGTGTCCCGCACATAGTAAGCTCTTAGCTTGTCACTGCACACTGCCCTGAGAAGGGGTGCACAGTTCATGTTTGCTGAGGAACGCAGTTCACAGAGAACGATGCGGAGAGGCTGCAGAGGCTCCAGCAGAAGGTGGAAAGGCCTCATCTCCAGTGCCTGGGCAGGTGGAGAGCCAGTTCAACCAAGCCAACCTCACTCAGGACTGCCAAGTTGGTAGAGTCAGGGTCTTTGCATGTTACTTTGGCGCCACCTCCTGGCTGCTGTGTACCTCACATCACTTCCTCAGGCAACCCAGAAACTATGGGGTTCCCTCTATTTTCAGGCCGGTAGGACTTACAAGGCACCTCCCCTTCATCTAGGACAAAAGTCCGACCCAGAAAGTGACCTTCTTGAGTCTACAGAAAGCTCCTGGCCCAGTCGCATGAGCATCAACTTCCTCAAGGTACCAATTCCACACTTCCTCCCTGTGAGACACACTAGAGACACAAAATGACACCATCTTAGACACAGGTTCTGCAAAACCCAAGGGGAAACTTCACCCAGAAACAGGAAGAAGAGGGACTGCAGAGAGAGGAAAAGATGGGAACTGGAGATGGGCTGTGGACTGGCGAGTTGAATCCAGGAAGTGGCCGTGGAGATAAATCAGGGCAGAGGCCTGCTGTGGCAGGGGTAGGCTTTGGGTTCATCCCTCCCATGCTCCAAGAAGGAGGCCTCTACCTACCCTTGAGTACCGAGCTCATTATGATATCGTAAAAAGGAAGTAGAGGACAAGGGAGGTAGAAAACAGGAAAGTTTATTAGTAAAGCAAATATGGAAAGGTAGTAGTATATAACCTATGGCTGCATGGGGCCCAGAATGCATTCCCCAACCCCCTCGACTTTTCCCTCCAAAGGACACGGAGCATGGGGTGTTCATCCTGCACCCCAGGTTGACTGAGAACGTACTCCCAGAAACTCAGTCTCCTGGCACATACCAGGCCTACACGCTCACCAAGCACACTTTTCAAACCAGGGCAGCTCCGAGCCCAGCCATCCAAGGCCAGCAGCAGACATTATTAGCTGCTTAAGCAGCCACATGGAAGCTCAAAGTGTGATCCCTGGACAGCAGCTTCAATCACACTCGGGGAACTTGCTAGAAATGCACATTCTTGATCCCTGTCCCAGACTTACTGAGCCAATGCACAGGCAGTGAGGCCCAGCAAGCTGTCCCCTAACAGGTGGTTCTGCTGCTGCTGCTTCAGGCCAACCAAGCACCTCTGACCAATCACACTGGCCACGAGGCTGGCCGCAGTTTCCCAGGTAGCCATGATCAGAAGATCTACAATCTCACAGAAGAGGAGCCTGGGACTTGGGCAGACAAGGGTCTGGTGCCTCTCTCCACCACACAGGCCTGAGCTCCACTTGCCTGGGATCTAGGTGGCAGAGGGAGATGAGGCCCCAGCGTTTCCCCTCCCCACTCCCCACGCCTCCACCTTGCTCCACTTTCTGCCCTACAGGCTTCCACCTGGTGCCTCCAAATGGTCCTCAGAGCACTTCTGGGAAGCCTGCCAAGCGGGTGCCCGTCTCTTGGCTCCTAGCTGCCCTGATAGCCGCCACTGGGGCAAGTGCTCCTCACCCCTAGCCTCCAGTTCACAGGGCTTGGGGAGAAATCCAAAGCAGCTTCTCACTGGGAGGGGCTGGGATCCCTAGGTTAACACGGGCCACTCTCAGTCTTTGTGTCTGGCCTTTGGATGGCACTTTGCTTGGCTCTCCCTCCACCCCCTTGTCCTCCGGCCCTCACTCCATCTGCTGCTCCTCCTGACTAGGCTCAGTTGGCACAATAGGAAAAGAGAACAGGGCAGTCTATTTTTATCCTGGGATGCTGCTGGGGGCGGGGAAGGGGAGCAGAGGGGAGGTCAGAAGGCATCGGAAGTCCCAGCCTCTCCCTGTAAGGAGCTAGAAACAGAGGTTCCAGAGGGTCAGTGCAGGTCCTGCGGCTTGAACTCAGGGCCTGGGTGCTGTCCCTCAGCTTTTCACTCAAGGCGAGTGTTCTACCACTTGTGCCGCAGCTTCACTTCTGGTTTTAGAGAGGTCAGGTGAGGATAAGTCACATGGACTTCCCTGCTCTGGCTGCCTTGGGATCCTGGTCCTCAGATCTCAGCCTCCTGAGTAGCTAGTCACTGGAATGAGCTACAGGAATGCCCCCTGCCCCACCCCCAACTCCCCATGTTTTCTCCCTCTGTAAAAAGAAGCAGAGATGCAGACCCCGTCTGTCTGGGAAGGCTGTCTGCGAGGACTGGAGTCAAGTGGGAGAATTTTTCTGATACCAAGTGTGAGCACACTTGGAACTGCCCTAAGGGGCAGCAGCAGAGGCCATGCTTTATCTCAGAAAATGCCCTCCTTCTGAGAGGCTGACAGCAGATTAAACAGCTCATGTCACCTAGCATGTCCACCCCTGGTTTTCTTTCTACATGTTTGATGATTTTTTTTTGTTTGATGATTTTTAATTACATATGCATTATGCCAATTTACTCTCCTTTGGAAAAAAAAACAATGAAGCATTATGGGAAAGCTATGGCCCAGACATTACCACTCTCGAGTTTTAAGTTTTCAGTGCATCTTTCCAGAGCCTACATAAATTGTTATTTTTGTTATTTTGCCTCCATAAATTATATATACATATATATATTGTATCCTACCTATACCCACAGATATCCTTACATAACTATGCAGCAGTGTACATATACCACGCTATATTGCATACACTGTCATACACTACATATACTCTAATATAGTGTATACATGGTGTTTTAAAGTTTCTGTACCGACAACCTGCCTTTTTGGCAGTGAGTTGGGTCCGTCCCTGACTTCCAGCCTCCCACGCGCCGCTGCAGGTGCATGAGGATCTGTCTCTGAGTACTGACCAGCTGGGCTGGTCGGAAGGTGTCATGGGTGCTACTCGGTGCCGCACACACACCCTCTATTCCTCCACCTTCAAAAAGCAAGTGTAGAGTCTGGATGGCTCCAGGAGAGGCAGGAAAGTTCTAGAAGGTGATCTGTGGTCTGTGTCTGTGCTGGGGCTTCTCAAACCTGAGGGGTTCCGGCAGAGAAGGCGTGGCTACACCAGTGTCCACCCCTTGTCTTCATGCAGTCAGCCCACAGCAGCTCCGCGCTCTCCAGCCACAGGGGCGGCACCCGTGCGAACGCCCCATCCCACGCAGAGACAGCCTCACCGCCTCTCCTGCACTGAGATGCGGCTTTCTTTGCCATCCTCCTGGGTAACGGGCTGGCAGCCGTGCATGGTCTCCTGCACCGGGGCTGCGGGGTTGTGGCCAGAGACGTCCTCCATCTCCACGGGGTCCTGACATATGTTCTGAGGATGGAGGGCCTGGGGAGCCAGGGAGTGAGGTTAGCCCAGCCACAGGCCAGCGGTGCCCCAGGGCCACGCAGCCCACACCTGGGGAGTGGATCCCCTTCCCCAAATGGTAGGGTGGATGCCTTGGGTGCTTCCTGCCCCCTGCTGGCTGCTAAGAGGAAGCTTCTAGAGTGGGAGCCAGTGGGTAAGCCTCTCTGGCCCTCCACATTGGACCAAGATTCAAGATCCAAGGTAACCCCACACACACCACCATGGCAAAATCCAGGGAGAGGATAAAGAAGTGCTAGTGCTAGACGTGGCCAACAGTGCCAAGGTTAGCTCGGTGGGGAGGTGTGTGAGTGCACTGAAGGAGCCCAGGCTGGACCATGGGGACCCAGTAGCCAGTTCTGCTGCCATCCCACTGGCCACAGGGACAGACCCTGAACCAATCCTCCTGCTTTCCAGACAAAGAATCTATCTTCCCAGATTGCCAAAACCCTGCCCAGGGCACCAGAGCTGACCTACCTTAGCCTTCCGCTTCTTAGCTTCCTTTCCTAGGGGGCAAAGGAAGAGATAGGGCATTGTGAAGGCCGGATCGGCCTCCATAGTACATCCTTCTCCCTCCACATCTTCTTCCCACCTGAAGACTCACTGATATAGACAGACGCCACGAAGATGGCGCACAGGATTCCTATCACGACAGGGATCGCCACCAGGGTTCTGCTCCGAGACTGGGGACCTGGGGAAATGGGGACTTGAGCATGATCTACCCACAACTGTTCCCTCCTCCACTGCACTGCTGTGGTCCCTTGGCCACCTGGTAAACCCTCCAGGGACTGAGCTCATCTACACCATCTCCCTACATCATCTACGTCATCTACGCCATGTCCCTAGGTCATCTACGTCATCTGGCCCTTGGGCAGGTCCATATCGGCTGATACCAGTTTTTAATGCATTGAGGAAGCTACCAATATTCTTAGTTGGGGGAATAGGAAGATTCATATTAGACATTAGTCCCTTACCCTTAGGAAAGACCATTTTGGGAGAAGCTAGCATCCACAGCTAGCATTGAGCAGCAGTGGCTGACCTGCCCACTTCCCAACACTCTCCACTCTGATGCTGAGGACAGCAAGATTTATGCCTGCTCTGCTCCATTTGTTACAGAACAATCGAGGGGGAGAGGAGAGTATTTCTTCTGTTTAAGCAATAAACAATGGCCCCACAGGTGCACAAGGGCCCCCCACCCCGCTTTCTTAAAATAAAATTTTATTAGAATCAGATTAGAATGAAGTGAATGGGGCAGAGTCCTGCAAATGCAAGGTCAGATCCTGTCTTTATTTATTTCAAATTCTGTTGTTCATTATGATTTTTTTTTTACTTCTTTGTGAGTTTTTTTAACACTGCTTCAAAATCTTGGTTATTGCATTTCTATGGCACTATATTAAATATCGTGTCCCAATTGCCTCCTTACCCTAGTCCCAGCCCTGCAAAGAGGAAAGTCCATCTTGTGAAAAAGCGAAGAGAACATGCTTTCTCACCCATGATCTTTCCTACTCACTAAAGGACCTGTCTGGGTCCCTGTAGTTAATAGGAGTTTGTGATCTATGCTCAAGCCAATCTTCCGCATTCTCAAATCAAAACTGAGGCTCCCAGGGAACAATGTCACAATCTTCAACTATCTACAGGATGGTGGCAGGCACGGAGGGCCTCAAAGCGGTAAGAACCCTCGCCAGATATCTGTACCAACCTACAGAAGCCACTGCGCTCATCCCACTTCATAGATGAAGAAATGAAGCTCCCAACAGATGTGACTTGCCCTAGCTCTCAAGATAAGTGGCAGGGCTGGAATGCCCTCCCCTGGACTCGCTTCTTCTTTCCATTTCACCAACACGCCCCTCAGTCTCTGTGTGCCTCAGTCTCCCTTCTCCCAGACTCACCACAGATAACATCGGAGTGCTTCGTTCCTTGCTGCAGCACCACCAGGTCTTTGGCTTCACAGCTGTGCAAAGACACACATGCACATGTGTGGGTGCATGTGCACATGTGCACGCACATGCACATGCATACACATGCACACACATAAAAAGAAACAGTAGGGCTTCCAACCATAAGGGAGAGGCTGTCAATGAGCAGGTCCAGGCCCACTGAGCTCGCGTGCATTTCAGGCAGCATCCCTCACTGGTTATTAAGGAAATGCCAGGAAGTCATAAGTGTAAAGGAAAGGTCATTTTGCATCTTAAAGAGTAGTAAATAGGAGAGTGGATAATGAACACCAGCTTCATAAGTCGGGCTGAAGTTCCTGTCTGCAAAGGCTGACGGGGGGGGGGGGGGTCCTGAGCTCTATTTAAGGCAGGACAGCAAGAGCAGATAATTCGGGGGAGGGGGAAGCATTGCAGGATATATTCCTGGCCTCCTCCTCCCCAGGCATGACAACTGAAAGACGCCCAGCTGTAGCCACAGCTGGAAATGTCCCACGGGGAGCAAAACCGGTTCCAGTCAAGATGAGCTGGTTTAAGGGTCTTCTGGGAAGATTTCTATATGAGAAGCTGAGTACAGAGAGTCCCACAGGATGCCAAGGGAGGAGCAGCAGTGCACCGCAGCCAAGTGGGGCAGCGTGTGCAGAGGGAAGGCAGGTGGGTGGCATGCAGGTAGCACTGAGAATCTATGGGAAACTAGACACTGATATTCAGCCAGATGACCCAACTAGTGAGGGATCAACTGGCCAGCAAGCTCAAGGAAGGAGAAACTGTACAATGCCCAGCTAGGAGCTGCCACAAGAAATGTGGGACCCTAAAGAGTGGGGGAGGGGACAGAGATGATCATGGCAAAGGAAAAACCATTAAGGGTGAGAGATAAAGAGGAGCGTGAAAGCATAGAGTTCAGCCTTGCATAAGAGCATTTAGTTTATGAGTGTGTGAGTGTGTATGTGTGTGTGTAAAATGAGTGTGTGTGTGTGTGTGTGTGTGTGTGTCGGTGGTGGTGCTTGAACTCAGGACCTTGTGCTCTTGTTTGGCTTTTTTTGCTCAAGGCTAGCACTCTACCACTTGAGCCACAGTTCCGCTTCTAGCTTTTCAGTGGTTAATTGAAGATAAGAGTCTCATGCACTTTTCCGCCTGGGCTGGTTTCAAACCATAATCTTCTTCTGCCTCCTGAGTAACCAGGATTACAGGTGTGAGCCACAGCACCCAGCTAACAAAACACTTGTATTATGTCTTCATCTTCAAGCCTTGTGAAAGGTTTCATCTCTCTTCTAGATAAGGATGCAAGGCTCAGAGGGGTGATGGTTGCCACCAGCAGAACTGGAGGTCAGTGTACATGGATCAGACTCTACTACAGGAGTCTCCAGTCACCAGGTAAAGACCGACTAAGCACTTACTATGTAAGGCACTGTTCTAGGTATAAGGGATGGATCAGAAGAAGAAAAGAAAAAGCTATATCTCAGACCAGGTATGATGGTTCACACTTGTAATTCAAGCTACTCAGGAGGCAGAGATAGAAGGATCCTGGTTCAAGACAGCATGGCCTGTCTTGTAGTTAATAAGAGTCATAGCCAGGTGCTGGTAGCTCACACCTGTAATCCTAGCTACTCCGGAGGCAAAGATCTGAGGATCGTGATTCAAAGTCATTGGGGGCAAGAAAGTTCATGAGACTCTTATCTCCAATTCATCACCAAAAAATCCAGAAGTAGACTTGTGGCTCAATGAATAGAGCACTAGCCTTGAGCACAAAAGCTCAGGGACAGCAGCCAGACCCTGAATTCAAGCCCCAGGGCAAGCACACACACACACACACACACACACACACACACACACACACACACACAAAGTCATGTGGTAGTGACTATAATCTTAACTATGAGGGAGTTGTCAGTAGAGGGATCATAATATGAGGCTGGATGTGTTGGAAGAAGCACAAGACTCTATCTGAAAAATAACTAAACATGTCTCCATGTGTGGCTCAGTGTGGCTCAGTGGTAGGGTACCTGGGACTGAGGAGATGGATGGGGACCACGCTGGGGAAATGTGACCACAGATGGCCCAGAAAACCAGCCAGGAAGCCTGAAGGAAGTGGAAGACTGAGGAATGGAAGCAGGGGTAGGAGGGTAACCATGCCACCCTGAGAACAGCAACTTTAAGAATGGGAGATTGGCAATGTCAACTATAGTAAGAGCAGACAAGAGCAACATGAGGAAAGGTCAAACACAAGGTCACTCTGTGGACAGTTCACCAGTGGGTGAGTGTGCGCACCACGGAGGAACAGGGATGGAAGGGCAGGTAGCTGGAGAGATTAAGGTAGGACCCACCACCACTTCGGAGCCAGTCCTTGTACCTTGTCCAGGGTCGACACTTTTCAGAAGCAGATGAGTCATTCGAGAAGAAGCCGACAGGGCAGGGTTCACAGACTGTGTCAGTCATCTTTGTAGCTGGGGATGGGGTAGGAGAGCACATCAACCACCTCGGTGGGCCACGTGCGTAGCTAGCCGGGCAGGACAGGAAGAGCTAGCTGCCTGGAGCTCCAGGCGCCCTCAAAGCTGCAGCTCAGCAGGAGTTCTCCCATCTTCTCTGCAGACACAAACCCTTGGCCGGAGGCAGAAGACTGAAGATCCCATCCTCTGCTCACACTAGCAGGAAGGAGCCTCCAGCCCCTCCACCTCTGAGGCTACATGCCAACTGTGCCAACTGCCCAGACTGCCTTTGGGCAAGATCCGCTGGCTCTCATCTCCCACTCCTAGCGCGGATTCCCAGATGGGCCACTTACCAATCTGCTTGACTCCAAAGCCAGGGCCACACAGAGTGTGTAGCTCACAGCTCTCGCAAGCACGGCCCAGACAGTGCAGGCCCTTCTCGCAGGTACAGACTGCATCTGTCTCCGCTGTGCCCTTCCTCAGGAGCTGGAGCCCTAGATCTGAGTCGAGAGGAGAAGCAAGGATGGGAACCCACTTGCTGGACTAGACTTGACTAGCTCTTACGATGCCTTAGACCCTTTTCAAGTACAGATAACAACTTATTTAAGAGAAAGTCCTGCCTAGCAAGTGCTAGGCCCTGGGTTCAATCTCTAGTATAGCAAAAATAAATAAATAAATAAAAGAAGTCAGTCAAGCCAACTCCAATTGACCAATCAGAGCAGTCTGTCTACTATGATCTGAGTGGCTGTGTGCTCAGGAATATTAGTTGAACCATCATCAGCTCCTCCCCGGTTGCCCTCCTCAGCAGCTCACGTACTGGAGTCGCAGTATCTGTGCTGGTGGCAGCGGGTCTCTCTGTTCCAGGTATCTGAGAATTCACCTTTGCCGCACTGCAGGCAATGTGTCTGGGTGAACTCGGTGCATTCACTCGCCAACTTCTTTCCTGGAAAACATCAGGAATTATGGCATCTCTGGCCACTCAGGGAATCCGATTCTCCATTGAGAGCAGAGGGGCTCAGAGATGAATGTCTCAGACTCTTTGTGATCTGGTTGGGGAAGATGGAAGAGATAGGACCCCCAGAGGAGAGAAGGCAGAGGTTTACCTGGCAGAGAGGGAGCCTAGAACATTCTGACAGCTGGGCAGAGTTGTGGGGGCAGGGGGATGGGTTATTTCTGACTTGAGTTCACAGTGGGTCTTCCTCTGCCAGCAAGCCAAGGATCCCACTGCGGGACTAGAGGGTTGGTATCTCACCTGGCGGACACAAATCACAGCACTGATTGTTCAGTGGGTACTGATTTTCTCTGCATGCCGTGGTCAGTTCTGCATACACCTGGAAACACAATTGTGCAACTGGTAAGGATCTTGAAGTCTCTGCTGGGGGCTCCTTGGCAGGAAGGTTGAAAGTCAGCTAGGACAGCTGCTGTCACTTATGCAAAATCCAAAAAGCTAAAAATGGAGCCCCGCAGAGCACTGGGTATGTTTGTTTTTTATCTAAACTGTCAAAAGAATCTGATTATGAAAGAGTCCAGAGGATCATTCTGGTATTTTACAAAAGCCATAGCATTGGAATCTCTAAACAAACAGAGCTGCTGAACTCCTGCGTCTCCTCTTGCCAAAGATCCAGTAGGACCAGGAGTCTTTCATACCTAGCCAGGACCCTGAACGCTAGCTGGTTTCAGTTCCACCTCATTCTTCTTCCTTCCCTCTCCAAGCACGTCTCCATCTCCATATCATCAGTTCAGTCAGACCCTCCCTTATAAAATGCTAAGACTGGGGCTGGGAAGGTGGCTCAGTGGTAGAGCGCTTGCCTTGCATGCATGAGGCCCTGGGTTCAATTCCTCAGCACCACATAAGCAAAAAGAGAAAAGCCAGAAGTGGCTCAAGTGGTAGAGTGCTAGCCTTGAGCTGAAGAGCTGAGGGACAGCGCCCAGGCCCAGAGTTCAGGCCCCACGACCGGACCAAAAAAATAAATAAATAAAAATAAAATGCTAAGATTGAAAGGCTAGAAAAGATGAACCCTAAATCTTTCCTTTTACAGATAATGACACTAAGCACTAGAGAGGATGAATCTAGTGCCCAGAGATCCCCAGGAACAGAAACAGAAACTAAAAGTCTTAACATACCCTCTTTAATCCATCAACTTCTTGTAGACATCACTTCAGTGACATCTGGTAGCAACCATGCTATTAATTGCGTCTTGCTAATTTAATTGCATTTCTTTTAAATGAAAGCCTTATATCTTTGCTAGTATCACTTCCCATGAATAAAAGGAAACTAAAAATAAACCCAGCAGAAACAAAACATTGACATTAAACCTCAGTTGGTTGCTCTGCTGGCTGAAAGCCAGCCCTCTACCTCAGCCTACTCTCGATTTTGGTTTTAAAAAGGATTCCCAAACTTTTGCGAGGCATTAACTATATTATAGCTCCAGACTTTAAAAAAAAAAGGAAAAGGAGCTGGGTGCCCATGGTTCATGCCTGTAATCCTAGCAACTAAGGAGGCTGAGATCTAAGAATGGAGGTTTGAAGCCTGCCTGGGCAGGAAAATCTGTTGAGACTCTTGTCTCCAATTAACAAGCAAAAAGCCAGAAGTGGAGGTGTGGTAGAGGGTACCAGCTTTGAGAGAAACAGCTAAGAGATAGCACCCAGGCCCTGAGTTCAAGCCCCAGGATCAGCACACACAAACACAAACAGACACACAGTGAGGAGGATTTTTAGAACTACACAATGAGTTTGTGTTTTAGTTCTATATCCATGTCTGTCTAAGATCATCCTACACTCTGAGAACAGCCAAGAAAAAAAAAACAGAGAATCAGACTTCAGGTTCCAAACTTTGTAACACACACTAATTTGTGTCTCTGATCTTCACTTCCTTATCTTTAAGGTGGGAGCAATAACACGTGCCCTGCTGATAGGCCTGGGATCGCCTCTAGCCCAAGTATGGGCTCATTCACAGTTTGACTCACATCTACATGAATATCTGCTGGAATACTCAGCTCCCTGGCTAACTGGCTGACCGCTGAGAATGTAGCTAATTGGTAGCTCTCATTCAACTTAGGTTTCTGAGCAAATTACTCCATCAAATGCATCTTACCTCACAGAGGAAAGGTTGCCTGGAAGGGGCATCCCAAGGTACCACCCTCTGAACCAGAACTTGCCAAGCCACCCTCAGAGCAATCAAATCCTTTGATCACATGAGAAAAACAGCAAGTTCCCAGGCAGTCTGTCAGTTTCCTCTCCTCACAGCGGTCTCACGGTTACAAAAGGCCTCAGGAGCAGGACTCTTGTCACGTGACAGGAAGAGTCAGGAATCAGACAGATGGTGGTTCAGTCAGGCTGACCACTACCTAGTTAGGAGGCCTTGGATAATGCAACTTCCCTTCCTGAGCCCCAGGTTGCTACCCTGTATGAAGACATTGGGAGAAATCAGATAAGTCAGAGAATAGATGTAGTATTTTGCTCAGTCTGACGTACAAGGGACACCTGGATAAACAGCACCTGTTACTGTTATCACAGCAATCTGGGCTCTACCTGCAGCCTAAATTGGAAGGGATGAGCTCAGACTCTGCTCTGAAGGAGCCCTGACCACCCTTCACCACACCTCCTCCCACAAAGCCCTTTGCTGCTTCTCTCCAGCTCCACCTTCTTCCTGCTTCCCTTCTCCCAGAGAGCCACTACCTGGAGTGAAAATGAAAGTTTGGGACTAGAACAATTTCCTCACTCACTTTGCTCACTACCAAATTCCAACACCAAAGACCAAGGGTCATTTCTGTCCAGGCCCTAGTCCCTGAAAGGGGGGGGGGGGAAGTGTGGGGTGTCTGGGGGCTGGGATGAGATGCCAGGTACATGGGGGATTCCCAGCCCTCAGAATGAGGAACTACAAAAAATACATTTGAACCAAAAGTGAGTCAAATGTGGGCTTCTAAAAAATCCCGGAGACATGCTTGGTTGGACCCCAACCATTCTGGTGCTCGGAAAGACCCCTGCAGATCTCTTAACCAAAACCTTCTGGAGTCCCAAGAGTTCCCTAAGTCATCTTAAATTGGAGAGACAGAGGCATAACCTTAGAGATTTCCTCCTTGGTTTGGAGAGGAGGACAGGTGTGAAAATCACCTTTCTTTCTCAAAGTAAAAAAATAAATAAATAAAGTATCCGAGTGTCTGCAACCATTCCTTGTTCTCAAGTGCCCTGGAACAGGCAGCCCCGGCTGGCAAGGAGAGCCTGGCTCTGTCCACAGGGGGAGAGGGACTGGAAAGGAACAGGAAACGAGGCAGACCAGCCCCTTCCCTTGGCCAGCCTCCCTCCCTGCCCTCTGAAACCACTTCCAGTGTCACTGCGCAGCCCCCGAGGCTGCCCCAGACCCCAGCCTGGTGCTGATGGCACCAAGGTGGGGGCTGCATAACCTCCACTGTCCCACCGGCAGGACCCTCCCCAAGGACTCTCTGTGGACGGCCCAAGGCAGAGAAGAGGGGCGGCCCATCTCGTCTTAAACCTGCATCCTGGAAGTGGGGGGGGCTTTGCCCAGCTCCCCACACACCCTCCAGACTCCCCTATCCCCAGAAAGCAGCTGGGACGCTCTCCTCCCCGAAGTCTTGCTTCTCCTTCCCTCCCAGGCCCTACTCTCAAATCTCAGCCGCTCTCTGTGTCGGGACAGAAACTACTCACCGCTGTCAGCAAGCAGCCCCAGAGGACGCCGAGCAGCAGCATAGCGGGGAGCGGCCGGGGCGCGGGGCGGGAGAGGCGGCCGGGGCGGGGCCTCTAGTAGCCCGGAGCCCAGCCCGAGGCCCCGCCCAGGAAAGGGGCGTGGCTTGCGGGGCCCAATCCCAGCCGGCCCCCAGGTACTCACAGCTCAGGGATTTTCCCGGGGTCGTTCCCAGGAATCTCATTCTCCCGGGGGAATTCGGGGACGCGCTCCGCCCGGCTGGCCCCGGGGCTCCGTCCCTGCAAAGGTCAAGTGGACGGCCGACCTCTCAGGGGGCGGGTGGAGGGGGAGAGGGGTCCGGTGGGTACCGGGGAGCCACCCCGGGGACACCCCCCCTCCCCCACGCCTTGGTGTTCCCCGCCTCCGGGAATTCCTGCAGAACCGAAAGCGCCCTGGCCGGGATAATCGGGCCCGAGGAAGTCCCCGCCGCCACCCCAGAAGACGGGAAGGCCGCTGCTTGGAGGGCGGGCGGGGAGGCGTTTCTAGGAAACCTCTGTCCCAGCTTAGTTGTGTTCTCTTGCAAAGGAAGTCCCCTCGTGAGGACGCAACTCCCGGCCCCCCGTCCACCCTTCCATGCATCCCTGTCCATCCCGGCTTCCGACCTGGGGTGGACAGGCACTTATTGACCATAAGAGCCCTTGGAAAACGTCAGCAGACTCGGACAGAGTCCCTGTGACTCCCTGTCCCCTGTGACTCCCAAACAATTCCTGTACTGGTTGCTTAACCCTGCGCCTGGGCGCTGTCCCTGAGCTTTTTCACTGGTGTTCTACCGGCTTTCTGGTGACGAGTCGAAAATGAGTGTCTCGGGGACTTCACTGCCCAGGCTGGTTTCAAACTGCAGTCCTCAGCTCTCAGCCTCCTGAGTAGCTAGGATTGCAGGCACAAGCCCAAAGCATTCTCGAACCAGTGCAGCACAGATCCCATGGGTTCTGGTCCTGGCTCTGCCACCGATGCACTGAGCCCGCAGGAGCCTCTGGTCCTATCCCATCGAGGAGCTCAAACTAGACACACTTGGGATGATTGATGATCCTGAACTTCTAGGCCAAGTCAAGAGGCCAGTCTGCACAGACCAGGAAGGATGGGAGAAGAGAAAGTTCCCAAGGAAAGAACCCCCTCCTTGGGACCTTTGCTGCAAAGGCTGTGTTGGCAGCTCTTGTGGATTCCACTGTGGATTCCAGCCCCCATCTTCTGTCACCTCTAGGACTGTCCCAATTCAGGACATCATCTTTCATCTTAATTCAAGACATCATTTCTCATGCTGCCTCAGAAGCCTCATTCATTCAGTAAGGAACTGAGTGGATTCAATAATAGCCTTCATCACAAAAAGGATGTGAGTTGGTGGTCTCAATCCAGATGTCAAGTGTCAGTGGCCCCTTGGATAGAGAGGATGGTGGTCAGAGAGTAAAAGACCCAGAAGCACCTAAAGCAGCACCCAGAGGCCCTTGTTAAAGCCACTCAGATATGCCCAAGATGAAGAGAAAATTAAAATATCTTTTCCTTTGAAGAAAAAAAAACCAATAGCACATTTTTCATCCCTTTGGGAGAGGGCATTACTATAATCACTTCAGCTATTACTTATTCCTTATTTGCTTGATTCCAAAATTGGGCCCTTCACAAAACTGCCGGAGGAAGCAAGTACACAGAATTAAAACATTAATTATATTATATAAAACATATCATAGCAGCAATTAAAGCATCTTAAATTAATGTGTGAAAGAATAAATAGTAGCCTTCGGTTTGCCCCATGGGGTGCAGACCAGAGAAGATAAAAGGAAGATATTTCCATCCTTACACTTCCCCCCAGGATACAGGCTGGCAGCAAGGCCTAGGAAAACACAAAATCCTGTTGGGCTGAGAAGTGTAAGGAAGGAAGACAGCAAGAAGATGAGGTGGGGGAGGGGGGTGGCAGTAGTCAAGAGTCCCACCAAACAAGGATCCCTGATGGAATAAGCAATGCAAATAGAGCAAAAGGAGCCAATATTTGGACATCACAGAGGAAACAAGCAGGTGAAGAGCATGCTTATCTACATCAGGGCCAGGCGCTGGTGGCTCACGCCTGTTATCCTAGCTACTCAGGGGGCTGAGATCTGAGAATCGTGGTTCAAAGCCAGCCCTGGCAGAAAAGACTGTGAGACTCTTATTTCCAATAAACCACTCAGAAAATCAGAAGTGGTGCTGTGGCTCAAGTGGTAGAGTGTTTGCCTTGAGCTGAAGAGCTGAGGGACAGCGCCCAGGCCCAGAGTTCAAGCCCCACAACCAACAACAACAACAAAAAAAATCAACAGTATTGCCAGAGTCTGGCAACTAAAGGTCCAAGCTAATATGTAAACCAATATGTTCCCCCCCCCACTAGATTGAAGTGGTTGGTAGCATCCTCAGACTTAAGCCCACAGAATGACACAGTGCTACGCTTCCTGGTCTGCATCTCTACCCAGCCCTACTCCCTAGATACATACCATGCCATCACCTCTAACTGACCAGCCCATCTCCTTATACCTCCTCCTGCAAGGCTTGGATCAGATACCCCTCCCGTGGGAACTCCTCTCCAGCAGGCAAATAGGATGTGTCTTCCTAGGCTCTCTCCAAACCCCCATGGCTGTTCACCAGAGGAAGTCTCCAGTTCCACCACACTGTACTTCAATTATTCTGTTTATTTGTGGAACCAGTGTATTGAAGTGACTCAACTCCGTGGGGCATAATAATGAGGCTTTTCCTCCTAATCCCTGCCTTCAGTCATGCTGTGTTGAATTTCCTTTTTCCATCCCTTAATGACATCTTGGCAGATTGCATTACTTTTGGATCACTTTCTGTTGTTAAACCTCCATCCTTCCAAACTTTATTCTCAAACTCAATTTAAATCTCATTTTCTCTTCTCCCCTATTCATCTAAGGATTGACTTCACGCAGGGTCTGTGTTCTAGGAGTCAAAAGCAGGGGAGAGGGAGAGGGGCCTGGTTGATGGTTAAAGACTCACTGTACTATGTACATCCTCTTTTGTGAACGTGGGGGCAGGGAGAAGGAAAAGGCAAATAACCCTCTCCCTCAAGAATGCTCTCTCTCCCTTTCTGTCTCCCCCTCCCCCTCCCATGCCCTTTCTTGAATGGAGTGGCAAGTATTCACTTGTGGCTTCTCATGGGGCTGCATGAATGATTTTTATGGGACTGTCCTACCGCAAAGGCCATCAGCTCAGGCCTGATTCCTCCTGCCTTGCCAGCCCATCCCCTGGGCCCTGCCACTGGTGGGTCAGTCTGCATAGGCAGAACATCAGAAATGTGTTGCAGCCTGACTAATGACTGTAGTGTCCACTTGACCCACATTGCACAGGCATCCTCGCTGCTCCACGACATCCCCCTCTTCCCTCCTCCCTTCTCCTCCCCTGCTCAGATAGGCACAGTACACTGCTGAGTAGACTATGTGGGAACCCACGTTCCAGATCCCTTTCTTGCAGTCACTCTCAATCTCTGTGAGGATTCCCTCAGGGCCCACTCCACACCTCTTCAATTGGGAGGAAAGGGAATGGCCTCCCCCCATACTTCTTAATAAATCAAAGACCTCCCCATCCCCAGGTTGAAATCAGGTCTTGGCTAGCTGATGTAGGGCCTATTCTGCCTCCTTTAGAAAACTCTGGAGGGAGAGGATCTGGTGAGATGGAAAACAAGATACCAGGGCCTCTTGGCTTTAGCTGTGGTCCTTATTGCCAGTTCCTAAGTAACAGGCAGCATTTGCTCTATAACTTTTGGACTGGCCACTCCTCGCATCTCACTTAATTTATGGAAGGAATAGTGTTGTCCTGGTGCCTGCCCAGAGCCCAGGCATGTTTTCAGAGTGAGTGCAGAACTATACAACAGTGATACTGAAGGGGCCTGCCAGGACCTGCCTGTGTGCCTCCCCCCACTGTCCTGGGCTGCTGTCCTTTTCTCCCAGATGACCAGGATCTCTAGCTGGGATTCCCAGGCCTAACTGTGAACAAAAAATATTTCCCTTTAGCTCAGCAGAGGTAGGTTGGGATTTATCAAAAGGAACTAAAGAAACTTAAGAAAGAACCCAACCAGAAATTTGGAAAACCCGAGTCAACCAAACACATGGGTAAGTTTGACAAAGTTTAGTCTGGCTAAAACTGCTTACTAAGCCAGGTGTCAGTAGCTCAGGCCTGCAATCCTAGCTACTTAGCAGGCTGAGATCTAAGGATTGTGATTTAAAGCCTGGGCAAGAAAGTCCATGAGACTATTTCCAATTGACCAGTTAAGAGCAAGAAGTGGAGCTTTGGCTCAAGTGGTAGAAGGCCACCATTGAGCAAAAACTAAAGGATGGCATGTAGGCCTTAAGTACAAGCCCCAATACTGGCATATTCACACATGTGTGAGCGTGCACACACACACACACACACACACACATACTATACATTGACTTGGCTGATTCTGTTTCCCACACATGATTCTGAGATGGCTTGAGTTGCAAGAGAGAGAATCCAACTCTTTACTGCACTTGAGAGTCCTCCATGACTGGCCTTCTACTGACCTCTCCCTCCACTGTCCACTCCTCTGCTACCTCCAGCATTCAACCACCGCCAGCTTATACCGCCAAGCTTTGTGTGCCCCTTTGCAACTCTTCATTCACTCTCCGCTGCCCCAGTCAGGTATGGGGCAAATGACATGTGCTCCGGGAGGTCTTCCCCTGACTACCTCCTAGAAAAAAGCTGCCGCTGCCCTCGCTGAAAAAAAAACAAAACAAAGCTCGTGAACTTAAATGGACGAGAATATTATTGGAAGGGCATTGGGCAGTTCATGGAGGCTAAAGAGCGAAACTCAGGCCAGGGCTTCAGGAGGTAAGACATAGACAAGACAGCCAGAAAAAAGTTCTGACAACCATCTCTGTGCTGACTGGCCTCCAAGACAGTTTTCACACACACACACACACACACACACACACACACACACACACACACACACACACACACTCCCATGATCCCTACCTCCTTAGTCCCTTGTACCAGGGTTGGTCTGTAAAACCACAGAAGCCTGCAGGAATTATGATGGGTCACT